TAATCTACCCATAAACCATTCTCTTCACAAGATCTCTACCTGGGAATTTTAAAATGCCTGTTTGAGTATAGCAGCTATTAAATAAAATGCCAGCAATTTGCACGACCAAGATCATAATGTAATACTGTTGAGAAAATTCTCAAGATTATTGTTTTTATGCTTCATAAGAAAGAAGAGTTAGAGGTTGTGGAATTTTGTTTCTAAACTTCTCCCTTTCCTTCTCACAGAAGCAAAATAACCTCTATACAGCAGGCTCTAGTGTGCTTTCAGAACCATCCACTGTAGAGATTAAAGGATCTACTGAGAAGAAAATGGTGATTATGATAAGACTTGAGTCATAAAGAATTGCCAGTGAAGTCAATTCAAACAGCTGTTTTCCAGGAAAGGCTGATATATACTGAATAGTATGTCATTGAAGCAACTGTGGACATCAGTGTAGAAACTATAACTCATTTGTATTTTTACCATATCTAAAACATACTTGTGTCTTTTGCAGTGTAAGATCTGTTCTCACCCACCCACCCCCCTTTTGAAGAAATGATTCTAGCAGATAGAAACTGAAGATCATGGTATGTTGCTATGGCAATGTGCATTTAATCTCACTGTTTCCAAGGCAACTGTAATGGCCCATTCTACTCCTTTAAAGGATGTCAAAGGTAAATGAGACCTGATTAGACAAACAGGGACAAGAGTCAAAATACTGATAGGCTACAAAACCTTAGAAACTGTTTTATCATTAAAAAATAAGCTGCCCTAAGACAAGTGATGGGGGCCTGTAAAAAAAAGGCACATTTGATGCAATTAAAATAAACAGAAACTATATCTGAACTACCATAGCATCTTATTGTTATAAGTTCCTAGCTGAGATAAAACATTACACTGACCAAGAAAACTTTATTTTAGAAGATCTAAGAGCAAAAAATGGCACATACACACACCTAGCTGGGAAGAGAGATTGGTTTCCAAGGAAGAGTCTATGCAGGTAACCAGTAATTGTAGAGTTGGTGTCAGGAAATGAAAAGCTCAGAATGACCTGATGTTGACAAAAGATGCCAAGAAGAAAAGGGGCTTATTTAGATGTGTTCCAATGTAAAAGAAAAAGCTAGCTTCCTCATGGACAGCAAAAAGTCACCTTAGCTTGACTTGATCATTTTGCTCTTAGATCACCAATAACAAAGTGTATGTTTCATTACACAATTGCATGACAGGATGGAGAGGTTGAATTGAAGCTTGAGACTTATGAAAAAATGAACAGAGAATACCTTCTCACTCTGAATCAATCTAAATGTATAGGTCAGATTAACGCACTTTAGAATAGTGAAAGAACTTGCTGATGGTTTGATTGAAATGTTATTTTTGAGAAATGTTGGTGAAGGAGCAAATGATGCTGCTACCTTGAAAAAAGAGGTAAAAGGAAGATTTAGTGCAATTGATTATGCAAACTGGTATAAGTACCAGAGAACATTCTAGAACAGAACATATAGAGACTGATGTAAGCATCATGAAAATGGTATGATCATTATTAGATGTCAGTATGGATTTTTAAGAGCAAGTCTTGTCAGATTAACCATATCTGTTTTTTTATATTTAGTAGGTTAAAGGCATGTGGTAGCTATAATAAATCTTGATTTAATGAAAACATGCACTTCATATTGATGATAATGTTGTCTACCAAAAACAGAGATGAGCCGTAGAGGACTTGCTGCCTTGGATTTGATCCTTACTAACGGGGGATTGAAAGTGTTAAAACAATTGAAACTTTGGGTACAGGTGACCACACTTTGTTAGAATTCAAATAGTTTGGTTAAAAAAATAAAATACAAAGCATGAATTTTAGGAAAACCATTTTTAATAAAGTAGCAGAAATGGTAAGGATATCTACCTTTAAGGAAGATACCTTTAAGAAGAAAGCTTAAAGCCTTGGATATTCTAGCTCGCTGGGACTTCTGGAAAAAGTAATTAAGGATTGCACAATCTCCAAAAACAGTACGGAGGAAGAAAAACAAGAGACATTTCAACACATTGATGTAGTAATTGAATAGACAGTTCATAAAGGAACTGAAACTAAAGAAGAATGTTTATTAGTAAATGAAAGGAAGGGTTTATGATCAAAGAAGCTCTAGCTTTAGCCTAGAAATGTAGGAATGAGGTCAGGAAGGCAAAGGCAGAAAATGAGCTAAGGTTGGCTGAAAAGACAAAATTGAGCAAGAAGGATTTTTCCTCCAACTATGTTAATAAGAAAATGACAACAAAGGTGGTGTGTATCCTGTTTGTTTTGAATGGACAAATGTTAACAGATTACCCAAAAAGGAAAGGAAAGCAAAGAAACCCAACTATTTTGTTTCTGTTTATTTACAAGGAAAGGAAATTGTGATTTGAATAGCGCAGACTAGGAATAAACATACCAGAGAAGGATGAAGATTACTAAAGAAGTAGTAAAAGAGTCCTGGCTCATTGAATGCTTTAAAGGCCTCAAGCCTGGTGAAATATATCCTAGAATAAAGAAGGAACTGCCTAAAGAGCTGTCACATCCCCAGTAAATTATATTAAAAGACTGTTAGAGACCTGGGAAGATGCCAGAGGGCCAGACAGCAAATGAAGTCCCTTCTCTTCAAGAAAGTAAAACAGAGGATTCCTGTAATTACTTAGCCCTGTGTCTAATACTGATTACTAGAAATTTACAGTATGTATTACAATAGACCATTTGTAAGCATCTTGAAGAGAATGCTATGATTGTTAAGAGCCAAAATGGCTTTGTCAAAAATAAGTAAGGTTAAGACAAATCATGTATTTTTCCTTGACAAGGTAACTGCTCTAGTGGACAAGGAAAATGCTGATGTAGTCTACTTTGGTTTCAGCAAAGCTTTTTACAAAGTTCTACATGACATTTTCACTAAGAATCTGTTAACAGTGTCACCTGCAGTAAGGTTGATTCACAATAGTCTGAGTGATCATACTGAATGGAGTCAGCATTCCTGGCTATATATCAGGTTGGGCAGCAGCAATATGTGGAGGTCTACAGGATCAGTTATTGGTCAGTATTACTCAACATTTGTATTAATTACCTGGATGATAGAACTGATGGACCCCTTATCAAATTTGTGGATGCCACAAATGGCATCCACAAGTTGGGATAGTTGGAAGTCAGGTCAATATCCAGGATGACAGAACAAAATTGCAATTTAATCTAGACAGGTTGAAAGATTAGGTTGACAGAACAATATGTTCTTGTTAAATGTAAGGTAGAGAGAGTAAAACATAACAGACATACAAGATGGGGAAGTCATGGCATGGAAACATGACATCTGAAAGAGAACTAAGGAAACAGGTGAATATGAGTCACAGTGTGAGACAGCTGCTAGAAGGGTTAACTTAGTTCTGGGCTGCATCAAAAGTAGTACAATACCAAAGAGACATGAGGTAATTATTCTTCTTTACTAAGCACTGGAGAGGCTCATTCATTCATTCTCCACCATTCAGTCATGTCTGATTCTTGGAAACTTTAAAGACAAGTGCTCTCCATGCTACCCTGTCAAGCACAGCTTCTTTCAGTTGTTGAATATTCATCTTTGTATCAGCTTTGATGGTATCAAACCAACAAGTTCTTTGCTTGCCCCTTCTCTTTTTCCTCTTATTTTTAGTTTATTTATGTGTTAATATTATAAGATACAGAAATACAAAAGAAAGTAGTAGGAAAAATTAAGGGAGGGAAAAGTGTGGGGGAAAGGAAAAAAGAAAAAAAGGCATTGACTTCCGACTACCTATTGTGTAGTACAGGGGTCTCCAAACTTGACAACTTTAAGAATTGTGGACTTCAACTCCCAGAATACATCATTATAGGGAAGACCATTGTTTTAACTAACCTGCCTTTTGTATTTGTATCAGCATCTCTGCTTTTTCGGATCTTATTCATGTTAACCATTGCAGAGCAGACTAAGATTATCCAGAATTTGATTTCAGGAGTAGAACTGCCAGCATATACAACTTTTGATCCAAGGAAGATAAATTCTCCTTGTTGATTTTTAACATCTCATGTCTATTTGCAGCTATTGTTATTATCTTTGTTTTCCTGAAGACTCAGATTTACTTTTTCACTTGAATTAGATGATCTACAAGGTCCCTTCCAACTCTGTTAACCTAATCTACTTTCATCCTCGACTTTCCAATCATTTTTTTCCAGGTCTTCCTTATTTTCAGCCAGTAGTGTTGTATCATCTGCGCACCTCAAATTATTTATGATACTTTCTCCAATCTTTACTCCCAACTCGGGCAGTTCTAGGTCTAATTGTCACATGATTACTCAGTATATAGATTGAACAAAAATGATGATAGAATACATCCCTGTCTAACTGGGGATAGTAGAGTTTAGGGCAATGAACATGATATATGGACTTGAGGAATGTCATATGAGCATAGACTGAAGGAATTTGGGATATTTATTCTGAAGGAAAGACTTGGAGGTGTATGGCAGCAGCCCCCCAGCCTTTTGGGCACTAGGAACCAGTTCCATGGACAGAAGTTTTTCTGCGGACTGGAGGGGGCATGGTTTTCCGTGTTGCCTTCATCTTGTGGATGGGGCTTCACTTGTTTGCATGGCCCAGTTTCTGGCATGCCACAGATTGATAAAAGTCCACGGATCAGGGGTTGAGGACCCCTGGTGCATGGTATCAGTTCAGATTATATAGAGAGAAATTATGGAAGATGGCTGAGAAATATTTTGCATGGCCAAAAAACTAAGACTAGAAATAATTATTATATGTTGCAACTACCAGGATTTTATGAAAATATTAGGAAAAAGTTTTGCCGGTTAAGTTCTGTATTACAGAATAGTCTACCTATGAAGTCTTTGTATTCTACATCTCTGGAGATTTTTAAGAAGTGACTGGATACCCAGATCTAATGAAAGTTTAATTAGATTTATTATTGTTAGCAGGTCGGACTGTAATCCTTGTAGTCCCTTCCAATTTTATATTTCCATGATTCAATGTAATTCTGATTAGGAAGTTATTTAAACTTGTAATTATTACTGTTGATTTATAGTTGCATTAAAAATCATATTCAAAGAGTGCTTATTGACATCAAACTAGAGTGAAATATTAAGTAATATGCTACAAAGTTCAGAACTGGGCCTGGAACTTTTTTAACATTTTTATTAATGACTTGGGTGGGGAGAAGAGTGAAGGGAATGCTTCTCAAATCCACACAAGACAAAATCGGGTAGGACAGCTAATACCTTAAAAGACAGAAGTAAAAATCAAAGTAATCTTGTTACAGTATGCTAGAGATATAAAATAACATAAAAATATTAAAATTAACATAAATACTATAATCCACATTTTATAGCTATTTCTTACATCTTAGTTTAAGCAATAGTCAACATTTTTACACACATGCAAATGCATAATTTTATGTATTTTATTAGTTTTATAGATTGCGTTGATAATTTTGTATCATGTTTTATTTGCATTGAGAACACTGAATTAGTGTATGTATTTTTTATTGCAACAGGGTTTTTTTTTTGCTTAATACTAGTGATTGAAATAATGAATGCTAAATTTTTCACTTAGGAAATGTAACTTCAGATTAATGGAGAATACTTGATTTGGCAATACCACATGTGAAAAGAATATTAGAATAGTAGTTGAATGGGTCAACAGCGTGATCTTGCAAAAAACAACAACAATGGATATGCAGTTGTAACCTGCATCAACAGAAATATAATTGTCAAACCAATAGACATGATACTTTCACTTTATTCAGCTAACCTCAATTATTGGGACCAATTTTGAGCACCACGCTGTAAGGATTCAAAGAAATCAGAACAGGCTCAAAGAAGAGAAAGAAAAATAGTTGGGAATTAGAAGATAAACTATAAGGATAGAGACTGGAAGAATTGCAAATGATCAGCCTTGAGCAGAGAAACGTTCTTCAAATATTTGTTCCAAAGAAGAAGGTGCAAGGACTGGTCTCTGACTCCCAAGGGGCAGGACACAAAACAGTAGTTTTAAGGGTCAAGAAGACTGATGTCAAATGAATGCTAGGGAAATAATAGTAAAAGCATTTAGTGCAACTAATTATCCGGAGGGATTTTGGATTTCTATTCACTGGGTGTATTCAAACCACAGGCTAGTGGGTTATCTCTCATTGGTGTTCTGCCCAGCGTGGGGTTGGAGGATTCCAGAATTTCCCCTTTCAATCGTACAATAATTCAGCTTTATTGTGATGCTTTGTCCTTATATTCAGAAAATTAATTTGAAACAGAACCCATGAATATGCCAAAACATTGCCCTTCAAGAACTTCACTGAATCCTCCCATGAATCTACATGAATGAAAACTACCCGAGTTAAACATACCCCTTCAAGCTGAACCTCCACAGCAGTTTGTATGTGCAATCTCAAGGACCCTGTACAGATAATCCTCGATTTACAATCGCAATTGAGCCCAAAATTTCTGTTGCTAAGTGAAACATTTGTTAAGTGAATGTTGCTTCTCCATTGACTTGACTTGTCAGAAGGTGGCAAAACAGGATCACATGACCCCAGGACACTGCAACCGTCATAAATATGAGTCATTTGGCAAGTGTCTGAATTTTTATCACTTGACCATGGGGATGCCTCAGTGGCTGTACAGAGAAGGGCAACCAAGATGATTAGGGGACTGGAGACTAAAACATATGAAGAACGGTTACAGGAACTGGGCATGGCTAGTCTAGTAAAGAGAAGGACCAGGGGAGACATGATAGCAGTCTTCCAATATTTGAGGGGCTGCCACAGAGAGGAAGGGGTCAATCTATTTTCTAAAGCTCCTGAAGGCCAGACAAGGAATAATGGATGGAAACTGAACAAGAAGAGATTTAACCTGGAAATAAGGATAAACTTTCTGACAGTGAGAACAATCAACCAATGGAACAGCTTACCCTTGGAAGTTGTGGGAGTGCCATCACTTGAGACTTTCAAGAAGAGATTGGACTGCCATTTGTCTGAAATGGTATAGTGTCTCCTGCTTAGGCAGAGGGTTGGACTAGATGACCTACAAGGTCCTTTCCAATTCTGATTATCTGTTATCTGCTGTAAGTTGAAAAATGGTCATAAAGTCACATTTTTGAGTGCCATTGTAACTTTGAGTGGTCACTAAACAAATTGTTATAAGTCAAGAACTGTATTACCATTCTCTCTGTAAAGAACACAAGTTTCCATCATTTCTAATTGCAACAGATCATTTCAATAAATGCTTAGAATAAAAGTAACCTAGCTTTTGAGCTAACATCATGTTTATATATAGTCATCCCTATTGTTTCCTATGATTTGATTGCCTATTGTACCCCATTACCCTATTATTGTACCCTATTAAGTGTTGTCCCTTATGATTCTTGACGAATGTATTTTTTTTTAATGTATACTGAGAGCATATGCACCAAGACAAATTCCTTGTGTGTCCAATCATATTTGGCCAATAAAGAATTCTATCTATCTATCTATCTATCTATCTATCTATCTATCTATCTATCTATCTATCTATCTATCT